CTGTGCCGCAGAAAGCCGATGTGACTGCCGCTTCGAGTCCTCATCCTGCATCTCCTGTGGCTACGCATGCAGAGGGCGAGATCATGCAGGAAAGTAGAGGTACAGATGGGCCCGGCTTTGCCATGTCCAACGAGGGGTGTGCTGCTGACCCGCCAGGGGATAGCGGATTGACAGCACAAGGGGTTAACAGTACGCCATCAAAGCGAGCCTCGCGCGCACTGGAATCGCCCTCGAAGCATGGTGCACCCGTGCGGCGGGTGCGTCGGAAGTCTGGAGCTGTTGCTCAGCAAATTTATGCAGGGTTTGTTGGTCCCATGTCAGTAACAAAGCTGATGGCGATGATGACCCTCATGTTAAGTTTTTGCTGTGTGACAGCTTCAAGGCAACACGGTGTGGCATGTAATTGTGATAGGAAAACATAGGCAAACGCTTTTAGAACACGATGCATGTATACGAAAGAAGCGTCTATACAAGACGATGCATCCGAGGGGAAAACGTCGATGTAAGACGATGCATCCTAACAGCTCTTTCAAGTGTGCGATAGATAACAACAAGGCGCAATGTAGTCAGACGTATTGGTCGAATTATAGAACACCCCATAACCTCAAGCCCTTCGCAAGCCGAAGCTGTGAAAACACACAAGCCAAAGTCCTGCCGGAGGTGCTCGCTGGTCAGCGGGGGTTGGGTGCGTGTGCGGGCGCCACGTCCAGCCCCCGCTGCTTAGGTCCCGACCCCTCCCGTTTCGGCCTTTAGGTCCTTTAGGTTTAGAGTCCAGGGCTGGCGAAGGGTTGAGGCGTTGCCTTTTCGGCATATTGTAAGCCCATGCCTGTTTCCGGTGTATGATGTAATTTTGGGATTGTAGTAGTAGGTCTTATGGTTTAGGATTTGCGGCTAAAGCACGTCTAGTATGTAGCTAAGGGTTACTGCTGAATATAATATTGTAGTTTCGGATTGTATTGTCAAGCGCTCAAGCAAGTCTGCATGAAGGGAACATGGACATAAACACCGTCAGAAGTAGGACTGTGATGATGGTGATGCAAACCTGGAACTTGGAACAGCTAAGCGGAAGCCGTAATGTCCTAGAAGGGTACATCAGAAGAAAACGTTATGCGAATGTATGTGTGTATCTCATGACAAGCAGTATAACTGCCCAGACCCTGCAGCTGAGGCTGCGCCACCGCAGAAGCAGCTTGGCGAGGGTGATGTGCATACAAGCACTCCGGATGCCGAGGCACTGGTTCTAGGGCAACGTCAAGTAACATGGGTTGACGATGCTGGAGTTTTCTTTGAGCTTGAAAGCGCTCACACGGCAGGATTCCAAAGCCAAGGATGCCGAGGAGGGGAGCGGAAACGCCTCCAGCAGAAATCACGTCCCCAGTTTGTTTCCGCAGGATGCCGCCGAATCGGTGCCGAAAGATGCCGAGGAGGAGCGGAAACACCTCCAGTCCAAACATGTCCCCAGTTTGGTTTGCGCAGGATGCCGTTCCTTCGGCGCCGGCTGCGATGGAGACTGAGAGCATTGTTATGCCAGAAGACATGCGCAGTAAGATTGCTGAGATGGCCGCTAAGAGTGGAAATCGAGGCAAGGTAAATTTTTCAAGAGTGCCCACGCCGTTTTGCAGTGTCTGCGACCGTGAGAAACATACGTGCAAGTGGGGTGAAGCACGTTGGGTTGAAAGGAAGCAGGCATCGGTGCCTCGAGGCGCCGTTTGTTACTGTTGCGTGAGGGCTTCTTTGCTTTTACAAGTAACCCGGTCTGTTGAGGCTTTCAAGAAGGTTCCAGGTGCAATGGACATCTGGCGTCTCCGCTCGAAGCAAGAGCAGGCAAAGCTAGCAGCGTACGATGGAGACAAGTGCAGTTGCGAAGCTTGCACTTCTTGAAAGGAAAGTGCACTATCTTTTCGGCCATGCATTGCCTTCCACACTGTTGTGTGGAATGCAGCTGCGCGCAGCTCGGGGGTACGAGTGCAAGCTCAGCAGAAAAAAGAATGAGACCGTCCAATGTTCGCTAGTGGCCCCGGAGATTCCTCAAGAGGCATGGCGCATGGCTATATGTAGCAAGCCTAAACCTC